ATTGTGAGCAGAAAAAATTACTCTAAAAATTTGCCGATGGAGAGAAAGAGAAAAAGGGCCCACGTTTTATTGCAGATTAAGTTACAAAAAGTCATTCAAAAAAATCAAATACTGAATTTTGGAAAAAACTATTAAAGAGGGGTAACTGGAAAAGAGCCGAATTCAGTTAAAAAATGAATATAGTCGATTATGTTGAATTATGATGAGTTTAAATTCAAAAATGTTTGATTTTGATGATTATCTTGGCAAAATTTCAGAGCCAAAAAAAGGATAACAACAGTTTGTAATGTTTTTTATTGGAGTTAATTTTCTAAAATAATTGACTATAATAGTCGTTTTGTATTGTGAGTCTTACATTTGTATTTGATAATTATGGATTCCTTTTGCATTGGAAATCCACTGTTATCGATAACAAGTAACGAGGGCTCAGTGCGGGCGCTGTTTCAGTAGTTTTTCTCAGCTGTGAATTTTTCAGTTTGTCCAATTTTTGTCGCGATTGCTTTTATCCCTAAAATCAAGATGCTGAACTGGATTTGGTTTGTCTCCATAGTTTTTCTTCGCGACGAGATTTCCAAACTGCCTACATTTGGTCGGATTTCTTTTACTTGGCTCCAAAACACAAAAATTTCTATATTTTGACTGTGCGTCCTTTTCATCGCCACAGTTAGAAACAAAAATTAGTAAAATTCGGTCAAGGCAGTTTCGAGGAAATTTCGCTCGAGCATAAGTTTATCACAAAAAACGTCGCCATAAACTTATTGAATAGTTTGAGACTTGAATGTCAGCTGTGCTGTAGTTGCATTTTTTCTCGCTGGAAATTTCGCTCTAAAAACATGACCGTTGCCATCAGACAGCAAATTGAACAGTTGGACTTTCCTTGTTTGGGAGAAAAAAGAACACTCTTTGGTCAAATATTTGATCTCATCGAAACCCAACAACTGAAAAATTTTGCCCGTGGGACTTACACAAATTACTGCACAACCAGGAACTCATAAAGAGAAGCTTGGCATAGAGTGTTGATCCTCCAAATCGTGTTCTATTTTTCACGAACTAGATGAATCAGATCCTTGGGATGCTGTCTTACAGGTCATTGACAATCAAATGGGTACTCCTATCAATGACGTGGAGCTCGCGTCGTCTCCTTTGATTCCCGGAGCAGGACGTAGACAAAAAGTTGCCGAAATCAATTATCATCATCTTCGCGATTTGGTTTGGTACTATAGAGATAAGAAATTGAGAAATAGTGATGAGAAATTGAAAAAAATAGTGCTGGGAAATTTAAAAATAGTTTTGAAAAGTCCAATGAAAAGATGACACCAGTCGGCAGAGAGACTCTGGAGCACGCCAAGGCTGCTCATTTGTCCACAAAAACAAAAAAAGTCAGGCTTTCGTTAAAGGAGTTTTCAATTTAAATCGAATAAAGAAAAGTGATGTGTTAGGGGTTCGAGCCAAAAGAAAATAACGCTGGAGTTTCAATGGAATTACTGACGTACCAAGAGAAAAATTTCCTTAAATTTGAGCCAAAAAATGATAAGATCTTTTACCGAAGAAATTTTGATTGTTTTAGGAGCGATAACATTCAATGCAAGCTCTTATTTCTTTCAAATCAAACAATTGGTGAAATTGAATACTTCTTTTTCAAATCATTGCTTAATTCATTTATCGACGTTTTCGATAAAAAAATTTCCTGGGGAAAAAAATCAAAAAGAAAACTCCTGGGTGAGTAGTAAATTAAAATCTTTTGCAAAAATGAGACAGACTATTTAAAAGGTATAGTTCAAAACCATCGGAAAAAATTCCAATGCAGTAAGTAAAAAGTGCCCAAACTGTTCGTCTTATTATACAGAACAAAGAGTGTGAACTATGATCAAAAGTACAGGCACATTTGTAATTCCATATCAGTGTTCACTGCTTTTAGTGAATTTGGCGGGAAGTTATTTCACAAAGTTTTTTCAACAGACTTGTGATTTGAATGAATTCAACCAGTTTTTTTTCACATTAGAGAAAAAGTGGCTAACCTTCAAGATTAACAGATCATTAATTAATTTAGAGTTAAACACAACGAGCCCTTCTTTTTCTCTACCCTGCAAAGGATGATAAAGTACTGAAAATTAATAAATTCCATAAAAACGAACCGTCTAGTGGCCATGACGGCTTAAGTAAAAAAATGATTCATTTACGTGCTGAGGTAGTTAGCTATCCAGTAGCTGATTTTCTCAATCAAATCTTGGTCCATAGAAAATTTGGGTGTTAAAAAAAGCCGAAGTTATGTTTTATTCTATGAAAAGGGTTCTTACGAGAATCATCCAATTTTAGACCAAAACAGAAAAGTTTGGTTTTAAGGAAAACTGTTCATTACAGCCATAGAAATTATTGGATCAGGCGAAAATTCAAAAAAAATAGGCTTGGCTTCTTTTATAGAATTCGAAAAATAGTTTGACACTATTGATCATTTGATTCTCATGAAAAACCTAGAAGCCGATGGCTTTCGTGTCATATGCTACAATATAATACAATCATAACTGAGTCATCGCTATCAGTACGTATCTTTAGATGGAAAGAAATCGAATACAGACAAAAAACGGTGTTCCACTCGGTAACTGACCCGCTGCTGTTTCTTTTCTTTTTTCTTGACCTTCCTATCAATTCAAAAACAAAAAAATTGTGCTTTTTCGCAGACGACACATAGGTAATTTGCATTAATAGATATTTAAACGCAGTATTACGTAGAATTCAGTAAAAAAGTTGAAAATATCGAGATGTGGTGAAAAACCAAAAGAAAAAGTTTTAATACAAAAAATCAAGCTGCCAATTTGGTTCGCATAACAATTAATTGCGAAGTATCTCTCAGACAAGAAAAATGGATTACGTAGGACGTTTCAAGTATTTGGGCGTCGTAATATACAATAATTTCAATTTCATCAGCATGTTGACCAATTTTCTCAAATTATTTTGTTTTAATGGTTCAAAGTATCAAATCAAGAAGGTTTTCTCAAAAGGCGTACTGATATTTGATAATTTCAATGCCGAGCTTGTTATTTCGTATCGCTGACTAGCATTTTGCTGTTAAACACAAACTGCTCTGAAAAAAATTTATACGAAAAATTTTATAGGAATTATAATTTTCAAGAGAAACTTTGAAACCGTGATGCCAGTTGTTCATGAAAATGAAATTGAAACCGTTTTCAAAATCTTTCTTGATCAATTATAAAAAGAAATTTTCGATCAGTTCCCTGAACATCTCCACTCAGTTTTCTAAACGAAAAACAATTTTCACGAAGAATATGCACAACAGCTCGTTCAGTCAGAGGATAAAAACCAAACAACTTCTTATCCTCAAACAAACTGCTAACTGACAATTTAAAACAATTACAGACAAGCGAAAATAATAAATACAAGTAAATAATTAAAAACTGTTTTCTGATAAATAATTCGGATTCACAAGAAATCATTTTTTCATTAAAGTGATTATATTGATCCTCGTATTTTTTTCCAGAGTCTCACTTCGATGAGCTTCAGGGCTCTTGCGCGAATTTTGTGAGTTAAATGTTGTAATGTATATTTTCTCGGTAAACAAATCAAATTCAAATTCAAATTCATGTTGTCAATTTACTAATGAAGGGCCGCGGCGGGCGTAGTTTTTTGTCAGCCGGTTACTTTTTGAAATTAGTTGATAATATTAAGTCGAACTCTTCGCAACAAAATTTTGAGTTACTCTGGCCATTTGTTTTTTCTGTCGGTTGCACCGGCAACCTTTACCTTAAAAATGTTGGATTGTGAATTCCGCAACAGTTTGGAATTAGTTTCCACTTATTGCTTTGAGACATACTCAAAGGCTTGTCTTTGGACTGCAGACACAAGCAAAAACGCAAAAAACGTTGAGAACCCAAAAACCTAAGAGAACCCAAATTTGCCTCAAAAAGCCCATATTTTTTTTTGTACTCCCCTCTGTACTACTTTGGGTTATCCATTTTTGGCCGACTGACCTTTGGCGCCTATCTATTCTACTTTTTAGGGGGCGAGCGCGCGCCGAAAAAACGCGATTTTTTGGTCGAAATTTGTCCAAAAAATGCATAAAAATGCCTTTTTTGGCCTGTTTGTTTGAAACAAATTTGCCTGCGGCGCAGAAATTTTGCCATTTTACGGTCTTCATAGTGATTTGGGAGAACTCACAAAATCAGTTTGGTTGAACTAAAAAAAAGTCGACTAAGTTTTCAAAAGTTTTTTTAAATGCAACCCAACTCTCCCCCCCCCCCCCCCCCCTCGAGAATCTCCTAGATCCGCGCCTGCAAGTAACAGAGGGAAGTAACCAAAAAATTTGAAATATTTTCAAAAGAAATGCTAGTCCTTTTTGATCTGCGTTCATTTTATTTTTTTCAAATATCGCCAGCTATTTTTTTAATTTAGGAAGAATACAACTACAAATTGACACGCATCTTCTGTGACAGACAATCCAACCAGACTTCCGCTGACACTAATTTAACAGAGGCACTGCCTTACATGTGTGACGGGGACATTCTTATATTCCAATTGGAACCGAAACTATTCAAAGGCATGTCCTATTTTGAGACAAACCCTTCGGAACAAGGTCAGTTGTAAAATATTTTTGGTTAGTTTAGTTGTATTCTCAGAAAATATAATTCGAAACCAAAGTAAACAGTCTGTTTTTCTTGCTTTCTGTGTTGCTTTTTTTGCTTTCTACAAATGGCCAAATTTTAGAGCGGGTATTGATGCTTCGTTAAAATTTAGTCCTAAATATATTTAATAAACTTAGTCCTAAAACGTTCCAGAGAAAAACTAAAGCTCAGAAAACTCTTGTTTAACACGTTTTTTTTGCTGCGCGTTCGGATATTGAGACGGTGAAAAAACAAAGAATATCAGTGTTTCAATATTTTCATAATCTTGACGCAATATGATTTTATTTTTTCTTTAACTTTTCAAGATTTCTTCGTGAGTAATATAACCATTGCTATTTTCCTTTTTCAGTTCCTGGTGTTGAGGACTATTTGTACGCGGACTCTGCTTTCGAGGCGTGGTCATACACTCTGAGCGTGTATTGTGAGGATAAATGGTTAGGTTGGAAACAAAACATCGTCATCAACGCCAAATGGCCCATCAAGTAAGCCATTAAAAATATTTCAGCTTTTTTAAAAGAGAAAAAATTGAGAAATAAAAACTGCGATGAATCGAGTGTTTCAGCATGAACAAGTTAACAAAAGTACAATGTAATTCGAAACATTTTTTTAAAACAGCCGTATGAACAATTGTTTAACTAAATTGCACTTATGAGGTTTTTTTTCCAACATCTATTCACATTTTTTTGGCCTTTCATTTTTTTGTACCATAATTTGTAGGTACGTTCGCACCTTGATAGCCCAGAAAATGGATCAACCCACAGATGGAATAGACCTGCTGTACCACGTAGAGGCCAACCCAGACGATAGCCAAGACAGCGGAACCCAGGCCCAGAATGACTTCATCCCAATTACAGAATACTGGGCTAAGAAGGGGCTAGGTAGAAGGAACAGCAAGAATAGGGGGAACAACCCCCCAACGGATATGGGGGATGTGCATGAAAAGGTAACACAAACACGCCCTTTTTTTCTTCCGTTTTTGATTGAATCGTTATTTTAGATTTTAGCAGGACCATGTCACTAGGTACATGCTGAGGGTTTGAAAAAATTGGTGGAGATTTGAAAAAAGTGTGTCTTTTTTAACGAAATAGCTTTAAAAAAGCTGTCGAATGAGCAACTGTCGAATGCTGTCGAAAGCTGTCGAAAGTTGTCGAATGAGCTTCTTGGTCAGCTGAATTTTCAGAGTTGTTTCTGGAAGAAAGTTCTCAAAACTTAGATTAAAAACGGTCAGGGAAAGATTCACAGTAGGGCAAAGTTGTTTTCTAGGGCATAAGCTTCTACGAAAAGTCGAGAATGCTTGAACTCATTTCGTCTGTTTGAAAAAAAGAAAAATTGTCTTTTTTAAAAAAGTAATGATATTTGAAAAAAAATTTAAGCTGAAGTGGGGAAAATTTGAGATGGATCTCTTAATAGCGGGCTAAGTTAGAAAAACGAAATTGGCATTTAAAGAAAATTAATAACTGGCGCAAACGTTTTCAAATATCTCTTTTAGTGGCGAATTCAGTTGTTCCATTTTTTTCAATCTAGTACCATTCAAAACAATTTTAAAATTTTGCTGATCTTTAAGACAACAACAAAGTTTATAGAGGTTTTTGGCTATTGTAGTTTTGAATCAAGTTTAGACAATTATATGGACATTGTGAAGTTTGATCTCTTTTGCAGAAAAAGGTCTGATCAAGCTGTAATGTTTTTTCTTGCGATTCGACTTTTGATTTATTTTCATATCAATTTGAAACTCGTTTGCTGATCAATTTTTGCTAGGCATAGTATGCTTTTCAATTACGAAATTGTATTTGGTGCAAGAAACAACGTGGATGATTTCTTAAATTGGAAAATTTGAACCAAAAAGAAATTAAAAAAACTATCGTTTTCATAACTACCTGGTAACAAAACTTCACTGAACAGTTTTAGTTTAGAAATTTAACTTTTATTGAATTGTTGAGAACTCTTGTGGTTAAATTTATGTCACTTGTACAGTTGAATAGTTTTGAAAACTAGTTTCTTCACTCAATATTGGTCTGAAGCAGGCCAAGTTTTCATTCGTTTCTCGTTTGTTTTTGCTTTTCTCTAAATTATGAGACGGTAGCAAATCATATATTGATGACATATATGTAAAAATTCTCAACAGCCACTCGAATAGACTTCAATGGCAAAGTTTTCCGAGAATGTTTTTTTTAATATCACTTTTGGCAGATAATTGAAGTAAAAGCGTTTAAATACTGAAAAGAATTCCCTGGATTTTCTTTAAAACTTATGAAACAAACGAAAACAAAATGGACAAAAAGTTATCATGTTAGGAGAGATAGTAATGAAAAGAAAATAACGAAAACAAAATGGACAAAAAATTGTCATGTATTGAAGGATAGTAATGATAAAAGTCCGTTTGTTATTTTTCGTGAAGAGTGAAGAGATCTTTCGAGAACTATAGAAAATTTCATTTCAATTATAATTTTGAGATTTTACATATGCCTTTTTTGTCAGAAGGAACTCGCAGGCTTGTTGTTCACCTTTGTTCTCATGTTTTTGAATTTAAATAGTTAGGTTACTCTGACCAAAAAATGATGAGCAACAACGATTTTACAAAAATAATAATATTCAAAATCCCCCATATCGACCTATTTAAAAGTATTATAGCTCAAAACAAAAACAAGGGCTCAGTAACAGTGTCATTATATAGTCTTTAAGACTATAAAACTACTTCAAAAGCAAATCAATTTCAACTAATCAGTTTCAAATCCTATCGCGGGTTGAGCTCACATTGAAAATTAGCGATAAAAAAGTGAAAAAAAAAACAGCGATTGCCATCGATGAATTATCGATGTTCATTGCCACAAATGCAAATTTGATTAATATCGCTAATTTGGCTTATTTTCAGCGATGAAACAGCGATAAAAAACCTATCAAAATGAAAAAAAATAGTGCTCACACAGGGGTTTGATTGATCCCATATCTTTGAGATTTATAGATATGTATGCTACCTCTGCGCTATCAATCCTTAAAGCAATTGAAGCTAAAGCGCTTATCAGCTAAAACTCTCATTTGAAAGCTACTAGAATGAGTTCAAATTTCTTAAGTTTTAGCGAAGATTTTCTACGAAATCTTTACTGAAATAGCTCTGAAAAATCGCAGGTTCATCTATGCAACAAACTCTGAATTATACATGAATCAGCGTTGGAAAATAGCGAGCAATGGGATACTAAAGAAAAAACAATAATAAACGGTGGGACTTGAACCCGGGATGATCTATTTTTCGTAAAATAAAATAAAAAGTGATCCATAGTGGCGCTTAAATAAAAAAAACCGGTTTCTTGGATCACTAGCACATTTATGTTGCTATCAATACTTATATAATTACGAGGCTAAAATGTGCACTGTTTGGTAGCATCATTTAGTGGGAGTCCGTTGCTGAGGTTCATATATAAGTCTTTGATGATATTCCAACTTTTTATCCAAATGATTTCTGCGCGCAATCACTCTGTGAATTATGTTTTTTGTCTTCATTTTTTGTCACGTATTGTGCAACGGCATAATATTGATATTGGTTATGAGTTCCTCATATGTAAGCAGATTCTTCAAATTGTAAGTGGGTTCTAAAAATTAAGCAGAATACGTAAAATTGTAATTATAATGTAATGATCTAATGGAATTCGCAGAGTGTAAGCGGATTCTGCAAAGCAAAGCGGATTCTGAAAATCTGTAACCTTCAATGTCAGGAATACAGATTTGTCTTAGGGCTCTGCAAACTGTTCTGGATTCCGAAAATCTTTTTCCGGATTCAGCAAACTCGGCTGCTTTTGGAGAGTTTCTGAGCAATACTTTATTTCATTTTTTTGTGGCATCATACGCAGAGAAAAAATTTTAAAACTATATCCGTGATGCGGTTCGCCAGTCAAATAAATTTCCAACATGTCGCGGAATCAGCTCAAAAATCACAAATTATACATTTTGGCCTCAAAATATTTTTTTTATTGTTAGTTTTATTTTTTATTTATAACTCCTGAGCGCCACCAATTTGGCCTCGTAATACTTAATTATCTTAGTTAGCTTATGATATTTGTTGTTCATAGAGAGTTCTGGATGTGTATTGTACTCTGGCAGGTCCCTTCTGCAGTGCCACCAAGCTGGGCAGCCAAGCCAGATACTACAATGTCCAGTGGACTAGAAAGCCAACCATACAAAACTGGAGACCCAAGATATACTTCCGCGCAGTGAGTACAAAAAATACATTTTCTCATAAAAAGTACTTTTTCAGTCTAATTGGTTGTATATTTGTTATGAGTTAGTGATCTTCAAACAATTTGAAATAATATGTTGATATTCAATTATTTTATCATTTATTGATATTCAAACAATTTTGAATAATTAATCATTTTTATGATGCAGAAAGCGCAGATGCGCAGTTTTTTATCCAAACTTAACCAACTTTAACGTTCAAAAGACGACAAAATTTGACCAACTGCATATCCGTTCTGAAAAAAATTTTTTTAGAAAATGTGTGAGCGTGATTTACAAAAAAGTTTTTATTCAAATAAAATGCATTATCGATTGAGCGAACTAATTTATAATGCTTTTGATTTGAGTCATTTAAAAACCTTTGTTTTTTAAATCACCCTCATAGATTTTCTCAGTTTTTGTAAGTTTTGGTGCTTCAGTACGGATGTAGTTTGTCATATTTTGTGGTCTTTTCAAAAAGTAAATTGGCTACCCGGGTTGACCTCCATACACCGAAAATGCTTATCATACAATTCCATACATCAATTCCATATTTGCGCGAACTAATTGTCGATTGAGCAAACTAATTTTTTGTTTCTGCTTTCAGACTCGCCTTCTGAGCGACAATGCGGAAAAAGAACAGGCGGTGGATATCTCAATCTACGACTACATAAAAGCAAAGGAAGTGGTAAGACAATATCAGGGGGGGGGGGGTGTTTTTTATTTGGATGATTTAGAATAGAAATTTTCTTTTTACCAATTATATCTTTGGAGAAAATGAGCGCAATGACAGCTGGTTGCTGCGCAAGTAGCGCAGAAGGCCCCGATCACATTTTGATCATTTATAAATTATGTTTTTTTTTACAAAAAAGATTAATTTTTTGCGTAATGTGATGAAAGAATTACACAAAAATATTCCATTTTTTACGTGGTCACCTCCATAGAACAAAAAATAAAGTGACAATTCCATAAACAACATTTATTAAAAATTTCTAACCATACAAATTGTATGGTTAGAAATTTTTAATAAGCGTTGTTTATGGAATTTTATGGATACATTACAATCTTTTTAGTGCTTTAGGAGATGTAGAATTGGTGATTCTACTGTATTACATGCTATAGTATCTGAGCGTAAGATTGATTCGTCATTAGGTTAAGATTGAATTAAACTGGTATTTCCTTAAGTTCATGGAATTAATCCCCCTTCTAAGCAAAAATAGGCAATGGAATAGCTCCCAGCAACTCCCCCCAGCTCTGGAGCTACCGGGGCGAACTTTATGAAATTTAGTGGGTTGATACTAGAAATGATTTGACCCGGACATGCAAAGGGCCGGACCCGCTCGACCCCCCGGGGCGGAGTGATAACGGTTCCCGGAAGTGCAAATCCCCCCTCCGGAAATCCTTAACTATTGATCCGATTGAGCTCATTTTTATGTATGTGGTAGCCCTGGATGAGGTAAGCTTAAGTCTGAAATTTTGGAATCCCAAGGTCAACCGGGTCCGATTTATGCCCTAAACAAACAAACTCCCACCCAACTTCCGGAGGCTATTTCTCGATCCTCAAGGACTATAGGGAGCTGAAACTTACAGGGATGATAGATAGTTACATGGTCTATCGTATGTTAGGATGATGACTCGATTGGGTGATAATGCCGGTAAAATGGACCCCTGTAAGTCTTAGTTCCCAGTTGACCTTTTCGGCGCTAATTGACCTTTTCCGGGAAAAGTGATAATGGACCTTGAAGTTGGGATAACTTGGGAAGTATTTGTCAGATATGGATGAAACTTGGTAGATAGGACCCCTATGTGACCTCGAGCCGATTATGGGAGATTTGACCCCGGGTTGACCTCTATTTGACCTTTCACGGTTTTAGCCCCAAAACCCTTAAATTCAGCACCGGAATTTAACCCAAATCATATGTTTGGTAATCAGGAAGGAAAATGGAGCTATTTTATGGATCTTGGGCGATGATTAGTAGGTATGGGAGTTTGTTTAGGCATTTCCCTGAATTCGATGGAATATCTTGGTTCAATGTAAAGTGGTATATTTTGGAATTGTTAAGAGTTACCTAAACAAACATTGGGTTCAATTTAACTTGGTGATTGAACTATTAATAGAAATGCGTCAATGGCACAGAAAAGTAGTCGCATATTATTTTGGCGGTATAAACGAGGGAATAGGGGAATTGAATAATCTAAATGTTAGGAATGTACAGGATATTCCATTGGCTTCTGGGGGGTGTTTTATTGGCTCAATTGGACCCCGGTTAGGGGAACGGCTTACCCTGAAGGTCGATCAGGTTGAAATTTGAATAGGTTACGTATGGGAATTTTCGGATTATGATAAACGGGAAATTAAGTTCACTGGGAAATTATTCTGGTCACGGGAAAAGGGAAAATATACGGGAAAATTAAACAAAGTCCTTGGGCATTTGGATAGGCAAACATAGCGTGATCGGCACTTCGGACTTGGTATTTAAGAACGGTGGCGTGATGTAGATTTAGAATCGTACGGCACTGCGTAGGAAGCATATAGGTAATTGTTAAGACTTATTAAGGAAATTGTATCTCTAACTGAAACTAAGAGTAAATAGACATAAGGAGTTGAGGATACCGGAGGACCTTTAGAAATCAGAACAATTGATACTGAGATAGAGTATAGTTGGTTCTCAGTTAGTTAGAGAACAATTTGGGCTACGAGTTAAGGTAGTCGCTTTATTCGCAAAGTAAAGTGGGAACAAGTTGGAAGACTTGTTAACGTGATTAAGTTAGTTAGTGGATATAAGTTAGGCTATCTAGAGGATAGTGGGATCGTTGTTGAACGATCGATATTGAAAGAAGTTCTCGAGGAGAACGTTAGTTAGTTAGTTAATAGTAAGGCTATAATTGAACTGCAGGGAGCAGGGGTTAAATAATAGTAATCGCGGACCCATTCCATTGACCGAACGATTAATTTATATTCCAGCCATTTATAGGCTACTCTGTATTTGGTTATATTTATTTCTTAATTCAGTCTTATTATTGAAATTGTTGTTGCGATCGACTATTGATTGACGAGTGAGATACAGTCGGAAGAGCACAGATCACGGGGCAAGCAGCATAGTACGATACAGAGAAGCCAACCACAAAATCAACCCTTTTGGGATTCTAAACAGTACCAGAAATCGGTTGCCCCACTGACCCCAGTACTAAAGGGAACATATTGCGGCGGTGCGAAGGACGATAACGAGTGAGAAAAGCCGGCCTAGAGATATTGTGAATTCCCCCACGTTTACAGTGGCGCTCCTGGGTGGTCGCTATTCTGGATTTTAGCTGCAACGACTATCTGTGCGTGAAGACGAGCATTGCGAACGAACAATCGACAGACGATTGCCATGAACGAACAGGATAGGAGCTCATGGCAGAGGCTGCAGTGGCAGTGGCGATTGCTCTTGACAGACAGCAAGGTGTGTTCGGATTTGGTACGATCCGACCAGACCGGTTTCCTTCGAGTAGTTATCGGAATTGGCGAGATTGGAGAAAACACTTTGCTTGGGTCACAGATGCCAATCGATGGGACGATGAGCAGGCCAGGATGGTGCTACCAACTTGTTTGACAGGCTGGAAATTGGATGAGTTCACGAGTGTGCCAGCTCACTTTCGAGAAGAAGTTGACGGGTTCGATGAGCCAACGCTCGGAAGAATGCTGGCCGAGCTCGATCAGAGGATGATGCCGTTTCAGACACGATCGACAGCGCGAGCTGAGTTCAAAAGCCTCAGGCAGGGCGAAAGGGAGGACCTGAAGGACTTCTCCCGGCGAGTGCGATCAGTGGGCGAAGTAGCGAATGCGAATATGCCAGTGCAGATTCGAGACGATATGAATCGTGAGCAGTTCATCGATGGGATATTCGATGCGGATCTACAGGAGCTACTTCTACGAGAAGATTTCGTTAGCTTTGGTTAAGCTGTGGGCTCGAGCCCAAGCACTAGAGATGGCTAGTAGGACAGCCAGGCTGCGCAACAGAAGACGTCCTAATGCTGTTCGGGAAATGCACGATATTCCAGAGATAGAATCCGGAGTTATCGGCGACGAATTGCAAGCAGGCGGGGCTCAACAACTGCGAGCGGACCTGACGAGTTGGCAGAAAAATACAGATCAGCGGCTAGATCAGATTGTGACACAGGTGCAGAGACAGGGGTCGCAGCAGAATGATCTAGCGAAACAACTGGAAATTCAGAACTCGAGACATGATGATGTGATGACACAGATGCAGAGCAACATGGCTATGATGGGAAAGTTAGTTAATTCGTTTACCCCTACTCCGAACCCCGATGGCCGACCCCAACAGGAGACTCCTCCCCAGTCGAGGCAGTTGTTCGAGTCGGGAGGAAACAGTCAGAACAGTGCGGCCAATGGTGCTGGCCGATGCGGTTTGAAGAACCCATGGACCCAGGGTGCTTGTTTTGGTTGTGGACAGGTGGGCCACATTGCGAAAGGCTGTCCCGCAAAAAGTGCGAACCATTTAAACTACCAGGGGCCGGGACAGTAGACGAGTTCGAGAGAGGCTTTGTTCCGGCCGAATATAAGAAGCAACGAGGTGTCAGACGACCTCCAGCGACAGTTGAGGATCCCAGACGGATCATCGAGACTGAGCGAATGCGTGAAGACAAATGTGAAGGTGATTCGATCCTCGACAGGGAGCATGTGAGGACAATATTGAAGCGTCGGCCACGAACCACAGATAATGCGAATGATACAGGCGCGATCCACAATCGCCAAACAAAGATGAGATACGAGTGCGTGGGTATTAGTCATTGGACGAATGATCCGTACGGAGCCTATGTGGATGCTTGCGTTGGAGGAACGAACATGGACACGTTATTGGACACGGGGGCCACAACGAATTTGATCCGAAGCGACAAGGCTCGAAAAATTGTTGATGGACCGGAGATAAAACTGTACAGGGGTCACTTGGAGACAGCGGACGGAAAGAGAGTCGCTGTTGTTGGTTGCATAACAACAAAATTGAAGTTAGGTGTCATCAATGATGAAATCGAGGCTCTGGTGGTACCCGAACTGAATGACGAGATGGTAATCGGTCTTAGATCCCTGAGAGGGTACAAATGTTCGTTAGAATTCAGCAGAGACAACTTGTGGACGGGCCCTACGGAAGGATCGGTTGTGCCAGTGTTTTATAAGCCTCCCCAGCTGGTCCCCCGAGTTCCCCCAGACCCAGGAGGGAAGAACAACTTGGAAGCGAATCGGTGGGATAGACCAATTCTGACAAATAATATGTCCAGCGATGTACTGGACGAAATTCCAGAGGGTTGGCCAGTCAACTATGAGAGTCACAGTGTAAATATGCTCCATGATAACGAAGCTGAAGACTATGACATGTATGGATGCCCCAAGCCAGTATCGTTAGAGGAAGCACTGAGAAGGACTCGTGGCGGAGGTCGATCAGATATGGTTGCAGTGTTTCAAGAGACAGAGGTGGGCGATGAAGACAACAGCGACGCGATTCGATGGGAACGAACGAAAGAAGAAATTGCGACGATGCAGAAAGAAGACGAAGCGATTGCGCAAGTGTTCTACTGGGCGGGAACGGCAGACGAGACGAGCGATATGCCTTCTTTGGGAACCAACCTCATTCCGAAGGGACAGGCAATTCAGTACGGACCTGAGGCACTAGCGTACTGGTCGAGATGGGATGAGCTCAGTATTCGAGGTGGAATACTTTACAAGAAATGGTTCCAGGGAGATGGGTCAAAACCGACACTTTTGACCGTTGTTCCAGCAAGGGGACGGAAGGAAATTCTGGGACAGTTTGAGTCGATGGAGACCAGTAGAGGACAGCTTGCAACCGAGAAGATATTGGCGAGGATACGACAAAGATTTTGGTGGCCGACGATGAGGACGGATGTCGAAAGAAAAGACCAGTGGTGCTTAAGCCAGGCAGCACAGAATGTCTGCGGGAAAAGGAAGCGAGCTGCGGTTCAAGCTCCACTTGATCCTGGAATCAGATTCAGCACGGTGACTGGATGTATTGGGTCCAATGATGATGGCGACGCAGACGAAAACGAAGCACGTACTTGTGAAGATGGACATGTTCACGATGTATGCGATTGCGGTCCCTCTTGTGTCGACAGATGCAGCAGACGTGGCTCAAACAATTGTGGAATATTGGGTACTGAAGTTTGGGACTCCCAATGTTTTGCGTACGGACCAAGGGAAAGTCTTTGGCAGTGAACTGATCAAGGAGATGTGCCGACTCTTGGGAATTGACCTAACTGCGACTTTGCCCTACAAGCCTGAAGGCAGGGAGTTTACAGGGCGATATAATGAAAGGATGGCAAAGGTGGTTTCAAAGTACTGTGCGGAGAATCCAAAGACGTGGGATACGATGTTACCGTATCTGAGTTTTGTGTACAACTCGACGGTTCATCGGACGATGGGAGCTACGCCGTTTAGTTTGGTTCACGGACAGGAATGCCAATACCTTATTGACCTCTTCTACGCGAAACCTCACGATGAAGTGTTGACGAAGGATGGCTTTGCGGAGGAACTTGACGAGTTGTTCCGAGATGCTCATAGCAGTGCGAGAGAAATTGTTGGTACGGATCAACGTAGACAGGAGGACCAGTACTGGAAGAAAGTTAATGGGGAAACCTACACAGCTGGCGATAAACTATGGGTGTGGGCGAAGGAAAGGTTCAAGTCGAGGAAGCACTTTGATCCATGGGAAGGACCTTACATTGTACTAGCGGGAATATCGGAAGTAAACTACAAGGTGGCGAAGGAATCAACTCCGAGCAAAGTGAAATTGAAGCGATTTAATGAAGAGACGGTACCGTCAGAGGGGGCCACAACGAGCAAGCGACCGACGCCTTATCGGTCGGTTAGTTTCTTCGATGACCGGGAGATGTATGATTAAAACGAGTTGTTGTGGGCGAACAACCGGGGGGGTTTTAGTCATGACCCAGGTCCAAAAGATGTACCAGTGAGATTGTTGCCTGTGAGAAATCAAGCGGAAGAGCAACAAGTGAACCCACCTGGGCGAAATGTGCGAAACAGGGCGATGCCCGAACACTTTGCTGATCCACCTCAACGAATGATGGATGTGGCTAGGAGGGAAGATGCGATTGAGACGTACGATGCGACGGAGCTCGAGGCCAGAAGGGAAGAAGAGCCTGCGAATCTACCGAGTGAGGCGGAAGGCAGACCCCCGGGAGCGCCGATGGCTGCTGAACCAGTGATGGAAATTGGCACCGCAGACGATGGCGGTCGGCCAACTCGAGTAAGGAAACCACCTGTGAGGTTTGGAATCGACGAGTTTGTGAGTTAAAACCTACATTAGTAAACTGTCTCTGTTTTATCTCATTAGTTGGTGCTTCTTGTTATCTGAGTGCGATCCCACCTAAGGGTTTTGTGCGGATTTTGAACATTGATGATTACGAATAGGAAAGGGTTGGATCGTACCATGAAGAGTAAATTAATTCAGTTACGTCCCTTCTAAGGTTACTCTTTGTGCTATATCATTGTTTACTTAACGGGGACTAACTGTTGGGTCCGGGGTATTTTAAGGGAAAACGACTAAGTGTTAGGGAGCGCGGCGAATCGAAGAGTTATGTAACTCATCATTAGGCCTTGTTAGGAGTTACTTTTAGCAATATTCGGGAGAATAATAGACTAGAAGGGAAGATGTAGAATTGGTGATTCTACTGTATTACATGCTATAGTAACCTGAGCGTAAGATTGATTCGTCATTAGGTTAAGAATGAATTAAACTGGTATTTGCTTAAGTTCATGGAATTAATCCCCTTCTAAGCAAAAATAGGCAATGGACTAGCTCCCAGCAGCTCTCCCCAACTCGGGAGCTACCGGGGCGAACTTTTTGAAATTTAGTGGGTTGATACTAGAGATGATTTGACCCGGACATGCAAAGGGCCGGATCCGCTCGACCCCCCGGGGCCGAGTGATAACTGTTCCCGGAAGTGCAAATCGCCCCACCGGAAATCCCTAACTATTGATCCGATTGAGCTCATTTTTATGTATGTGGTAGCCCTGGATGAGGTAAGCTAAGTCTGAAGCTTCGGAACCCCAAGGTCATCCCGGTCCGATATATGCCCTAAACAAACAAACCCCCACCCAATTTTCGGAGGCTATTTCTCGATCCCCAAGGACCCTAGGGAGCTGAAACTTACAGGGATGATAGATAGTTACATGGTCTATCGTATGTTAGGATGATGACCCGATTGGGTGATAATGCCGATAAAATGGACCCCTGTAAGTCTTAGTTCCCAGTTGACCTTTTCGGCGCTAATTGACCTTTTCCGGGAAAAGTGATAATGGACCTTGAAATTGGGATAACTTGGGAAGTATTTGTCAGATATGGATG